GATTTATATTGGTTTACAATTCCAGTTCATGGTTAGCCTGCTCCATTGATGTTGGCCTGTGTGTGGCTGAGCAAAGTTGCTTACCTTAACCACAGCCAGAAAGCATAGAGGGAGGGGTGAGGAGGAGAGAGAGGGAAATGGAGGAAGGGAGGGTCACAGGAGGTGACCAAAGATAGGTATAGCCCCCAGGTTATGCCCCCAATGACCTACTTATTTCCTCTAGCTAGACCCCACCAACTAAATTTCTAGCCCCTCCTATAAGAAGCACCACTAACTGGGGATCAAGTTCAACTAATGAGCCTTTGGGACACATTTCATATTTAAGCATAATGTTTGGTCCCTGAAACCAAGAGATTCATGTCCATCTCTAAAATGTGTTTAATCTCCCAGAGGGCTAGCAGTTCCAACGTTGTTTAAAAACTTTCCTCCAAGCTCAAGGCAAACTGTCAGCATAAGCCTATGTAAAATCAAAGAAAATTATACCACTGGTTGAAGACGTGTTCTCTCGAGGATGGAATACTGTTCATTAAAAGGATCTGTGAAATAACTTGTGTTTGGCTAAGTCATTGCTTTAACCAATGTTATATTGAGTAAATACTCAGAAATGTAAAAATGTGATTATTTTTTTAGTACCAACTCAGTTGTATTTGTTTTTTCAATTGTATTTTATGCTGGGCATGGTAGTACTCAGAGAATCGAGACAGAGGGAAGCAAATTTGACAGCAGTCTTGGCTACAATGTGTAGAGGCCTAGTTTCAGAAACCTGGAACAAGTCTGGGAACATGGTTCAAGTGTTATAGCTTCTTCCTAGCAAGCATGAGGCACTGAGTTTGAAACCCATTTCAGTCAAAATCAATCTATCAGTGATACAGTGGCACAGAGTGTAAACATTTCTAAACCAAAAGGGAAGAATGGAAGCATACAAGGGGTTGCAACCAAAGCAAGACTGAAGGACAGCATTAAGTCCATTAGCTCCATGTCCAGTATCTAGGGCACATGATGTGTTGTTAGTACCTAAGAGTTTGAAGACAGCTGCAGTCCCCATAATCTCTCTCTGGCCTTGTTTGTTTTCCTGTCTGTAGCTTTCCCTCCTGGTCATTCCCTATATTTTGAATCTTCACTGTCCTGAGCTCTCCATTGCATCACCAGTTTTACTCACACAGTTTCATGCACCACCCTCAGATGGTCCCTGAAGGTATTCCAACCCTGCCTCACCTTGCCTGCTGGGCTGTCAGTGCTTTTCTTTGAAATCTGAGTAGAAGCCTCCATTACCCAACTCTTGCATTTTGCATGCTTGCAATACCAGCATCACATGGACCATACCAAAGTCTGTTACCGTCTCCAGTGGTAGCTATGCCTATTTGGGTGACCATTGAAGCAGCCTATGAGTGTCTAGGTGACTGAGGATGTTGAAATGAATCCTGAGGAAAAATAGTTGGGTGATGTGTGAACAGGATCCCCTGTACTTGCTCTCTTCTCAAGGGAAAGGCTTGTGAAGCTTGCTTCATTACAAAAGAGTTTACAAGTCATCTTTTCAATGGTCTCAGTACAGAGTACTTGGCTTCCTTTTAAAAATAATTATTTTGTGGTACTCGGGTTAGAACTCAGAGCTTTGCTTGTTAGTAAAGTGCTCTTATTACTTGAGACACCCACTCTCAGCCCTGGTGCTAGAGTTTTGAACTCAGGGCCTTGCACTTGCTGGGCAGGCATCAAAGCCATGTTTCCATCTCTTTTTGCTTGGATTGTTTTTAATCTTGCTTTTGGTTCAGATCTACCTGTACCTCAGTCCTCCTATTTATGCTCCCTATGGCAGTTGAGATGACTGGCAGCTTTTCTTTTGGTTGAGACTGAAACTCAGGCAGTATTTAACTGTGCTGGCTTCAAATTGTGACATGCTCAATCTCAGCCTCACAAGAACCTAGGATTACAGGCGTCAGCCACCATGCCTGGTGACTTGGCCTCTTTTCATTGGTACTAATTTCCCAAGCTGTGTTTAGCCTTAATTTTCTTTTCAGGGCCTTGTATTTGTTAGGTAAAAACTCTTTATCTCTTGAGCCACACTGTAGTCTTTTTTAGTTGGTTTCTAAGATATGTTCTCACTAACTTTTCCCAGGCTAGTTGAATTGCTGTCCTCTTGTCTCCATTCCCCTGAGTAGCCAGGGCACATGTGTGACCTAGGCACTATGCCTGGTCCCCTAGCCTCAACTTTAAGTATTGTCCTTTTTAAAAAATCTTTCTCCTCTGCTATTTGCTCCCAATTCACATTACGAACCTGCTAAAAGCAGCCATCAGTACTCATGCCAGCTGTCAGAGTGCCTTGAAATTTCCATGATCAGCCCCTACAAGGTCTTAGGGCAGGAACAAAATGTAGACAAATTCTTAGCCAGGATATAAGGTAAATAACCTCTCAGTTCCCAGTTCCTCCTTCCTATATGAAACCTCATGAAACTGGATTTCATTATTTGCATTCATTCCTATTCGCTTTCTGTTTCTCTGAGCTCACACTACAATCACCCATTAAGCTCTGCTTACAGCGTTCTAGGACTTTTCTAGTCTGTATCTCCAGCCTTTCCTAAATTCTTATCCCAGACCAGTTCAAAAGACTTCTGAATCACATAAAACGCAAAAACCCCAACTTCAGTGGTACCAGTTTTCTGTGTGTTAGGTTTTTCTTTGCTTTGACAAATAATGCCAGAGAATGACTTAAAAGGAGGACATTTTATTTTGATTCGTGGTTTCAAAGGTTTTATTCCATGGCTGGCTTACTCCATTGCTGTGGGCCTGTGATGAAGCAGAACATGCCAGCAAGAGCTTGTGGCTGAACAAAGTTTCTTACCTCATGGGAGCCAGCAAGAAAGGGAGACAGGAAATGGCCACAGACAAGGTATTAGCCCCCAAGGACACACCACCAGTGACCTACTTCTCTGGCTAGTCCCCACCAACTTAAGTTTCTAGCACCTCCTGCAATAGTACTACTACCAGGTGCCTTGTGGGAAACATTTAATATTTTAACCATAGTATATTTCTTTCCAGACAAGTTTTTCTTCTAGTATAACTTTTTTTTCATTCAAGCATAATTGATGGAGCTTGATGTTTCTGTTCAAGTTGTTTCCATATTAACTGTTTTTCCCAGAGCCCTGCCTTAGCTTCTACAATTTTTAAAGCAGTTATTTAATATTTGATTCATATGCTGTAACTAGATATTTGAGAGTCTTTAAAAGATCTTTTCGCAGTGACTGTAGTGGTTTACGCCTGTAATCCTAATTCCTTGGAAGATGGAAATCAGGAAAATTGTGGTTCAAGGCTACTCTGGCAGACAATTTGTAAGAGGTATATACTTGTTATCCTAGCTATTGTGATCCAAGGTTCTATTTTCCAGCCAAAGACCTTGTCTGAAAAGGTACCTTATGCAAAAAAAAGGAACAACTGTGATTCACTTGATAGAGTCTTCACCTAGCAAATACAAGGCTCTGCGTTTACAACCAGTACTGCCCAAAAGCAAACAATCAAATAATCCTTTTGCACTCAAACATTTGCTTGCTTAAAACACTTATTCTATACCCATAATAATAGAAATTGTGCCAATTGCTGAAGCTACAGAAGTCAAAGATGATTCTTAATCCCAATTCATTATTTTCCAGTAACATGTATCCAAAATTGTGAGGACCTACTATATTTTCTAAGAATTTTATATCTGTTATATTTATTTAGGATTCCAGTGCATTTTGTTGATTCTTGTATGGTATGAGATAAATGTCAGTTTAATGTTTTGCATGTGAATGTGCAACTATTCCCACAGCATTTGTTGAAAACACTACTCTTGTGCCATTTGATTTGTCTTGGTTTCCTTAATGACAAAAGGTTTATCTCTGTCATATTCTAAGCTGCTTCTCAGTCTTAAGTTCTCTTCTGGACGCTTCTCACCTTGGTGGAATACCTCACTTTCTCCACCATTGTTCTCCATGTCCTTTAGTTTGGCCAATTCCACCTTACCCTTTAAGGTTAAGGGAAATCTCACCTTCAATATATCTTCCTTCATCCAACTACTGCCACTCACACGGGCCTTTTCTCCAGGGTAACAGGACACTTAACTGTTCATTGTATATGATACTAAGTACTCTGGAAGATAACTGAATAAAATGATATGGTTAAACTACCCTCAGGAAGCTTATTGGCAAAGGAGAAAATGTAATAAATATATGAATAAGAACAGGATTCCACAAGAATGCAGAGGATAGTGTTTAACCTGCTTGTTCTTCTGGATATTTCTATAGAAAATGACATCTGAACTGAAATCTTAAAGTTTAAGTACAATAGTAAATAGCTAGGTGAAAAGAGGGAAAAGACAACAGGATAGAAGGAACTGCATTTATGGAAAAGTTATCACAAATCTATACTGACATATGGTTCTGTAACAGGTTTCTTAGTTTTTAATATTTGTAGCCTAAAATGAAACCTCCAACTATTACCACTGCATTGTAATCTTCAATATACTTGTTTCTCTTTGACATGCTAGTCTCACAATTTTTCCTTGCTTGTTGTTTTAACTGTATTCCTATGGCCTAGCATACAGTATATGACAGTATAGACATGATGAGTGAACAATGATGAGTGAACAAACCTTAGATACTGACTTTCAATCAAAGTTCCTTTTTAGTCTGAAACATAGACTGTTTACTACCTCTAATTTTTTTTTTTTAATTTTGTCGGTCGTGTGGCTTGAACTCTGGGCCTGAGCACTGTCCCTCAGCTTTTCAGCTCAACGCTAGCATTCTTCCATTGGAACCACAGTACCAATTCCAGTTTTCTGGTGCTCAATTGCAGATAAGAGTCTCATGATTGTTCCTGCCCAGGCTGGCTTTGAACCGCGATCCTCAGATCTCAGCATCCTGAGTAGTCAGAATTACAGGCGTGAGCTACCTGCATCTGGCATTACCTCTAAAATTTAACTGAAAATGGTCCTTATATCTAAAAGTTAATTTTTTGTGCTTTTCTTACAGGCATTTGTAAAGGATGTCCATGAAGATTCAATAACAGTCGCATTTGAAAACAAGTAAGTATGTTAACACGTAATTTTGATGTTTAGGATCACTAAAAATTTGTTCAATTCCTGTTTCTGCTCCTCAGTGTCTAAAAATTAATTCAAGTCTAGTTTGAGTGTTTTTCCTATTACTGACCAAAATTTACTGAAGACTATTAAACAATTAAAAAATTAGACAATGGAGTGACTACTTCAACTAGTATCTTTAGAGGTTGGGGTGTATAATAGGATATTCTTCTTATAGAATGGTTCAAGATGGACCTATATCTAATCTTTTTATCTCCTTGCCTGTGAATATGGAAACCATATTTTTCTGTATTAGTAATTGAAAGTTTGAATGTTGCGTTTTTTTTTTGGAAAGTTGAAAATTCATGGCAATTTTTCATCAAAGATGTATGTGTCTTTCATTTCATTAAATCTTAATGATAGCTTTAGTTATCTAGTATATTTTATCAGAAACAATAGTATTTACCCATTAGCTTATTTTTATACTTAATATATTTACAATCTGTTACAACAGCATCTTTTCAGCTTTCTTTTGTTAGATCATAAAATAAAAATATTTAGACATCTAGGAATGTGAATTGTATAAAAATGTCAATGGTGTAGATCTTGTCATTTTATTGGGCAACCCAAATCTATTGATTACATGTGTAGAGTATTAATAAAGTAGCCATTCAAAATACTAAAGCACATGTAAAATCTTTGGCCATAATGTAGGTATGGCCATGATCTCAGGATTTTGCTGAACTCTGATGATTATGAGTGAAAATTTTTGGGCTTTTAGGTACCAAGAAAACTAATAGTATGTTAAAGGCAGGCTAGAAATCTGTAGACAGACTCTGGATTAGTAGTTCCTTTGTACTTCTTCAGGCATTGAGGAGAGAAGCCTTAGCTAAGACATCATTCTGAGGATGAAAACGTTCTAAAGTTCACTAGTTAAAATTGATGGTATCTCTGAACACACACACTAGAAACCATTGAAATGTAATTTTATTTTATTTTATTTTTTTGTGGGGGGGTCTGGTCATGGGGCCTGAACTCTGGGCCTGGGCACTGTCCCGCAGCTCCTCAGCTCAAGGCTAGTGCTCTACCATTTGAGCCACAGCGCCACTTCCGGCTTTTTTCTTGTTTTGCTTATGTGGTGCTGAGGAATCAAACCCAGGGCCTCATGCATGCAAGGCAAGCGCTCTACCACTGAGCCACCTTCCCAGCCCTGAAATGTAATTTTAAATGAGTGAGTTGTATGGCTTTTGAAATGTATCTCAGTAAATCTGCTAACAAATGTGAACCAGACATAATGAGCAATAAGCAAAAATATCTTGCGTCTAAAGCTCTTTAAGAGCAAGCTTGCATTTCAGCATCTAGAAAGTTTCGTAATTAGGGTGGAATCACATTCAGTCTTTTAGCCTACAGAGGGACAAAGTAGTATCCCTGCGTGCTGAAACACATTGAGAAGGGCAGAGTAAATTGATTGAGAATATTCAGCCCTTCTAGGCTAATAATGTTAGTTCAGGATATAAATTTGAATAATTACTCTTCTCCGAGTACAGAAAGCCAAAAATCCAATTTACCTTTTACCTATTTCAAGTGTCTGTGGTTGTACAGTAAGCAGAAAAGCATCACACCTCTAGTACAGGAATCTTTCATAATTTGGAGAGTACTTTTTTTCTTCTAATTACACTCTATCTATTTGCTCTGTACAGTAAGCAAACACTGTTTCCTATAACAAAAAAGAGTTATCTTTATTTGCCAGGCTTCTCGTTTCTCCTATCTGTAATCTCAACTATTAAGCAAACAGTCATTTTCTCTCTACATGTGTCTAGTTAATACATTGCTTTATCACATTAGTTCATTTTGGTTTTCATTCAGATTTCTACCCTAAACTTTAAAGTATTCCATCTATTGACTTCCTAATTTATTTATCTCCTGTGCCATATCTGCATAAACATTTCTTTTCAAGCTGTCATCCCAGGAATCTGAAATTTAGCAACACTTTTTCTTTGTGTTCATCAAGTGTGAGATACTATATTGACTTTGAGCATAATAGTAGAAAACATATATACAAACAGTACTCCATAGAACTTGAGATTATGTTTACTCTTTCTTTTTTTTTCTTTCTTTCTGTTTTTTTGTGTGCTGATACTGGTGGCTTGAACTCAGGATCTAGGTGCTGTCCTTTATCATTTTTGCCCAAGGCTGTTTCTCTTCTACTTGAGTCACACCTCCACTTCTGCACTTCAGGATTTTTGGTGGTTAATTGGAGCTAAGAGTCTCATGGACTTTTCTGCCCAGGCTGGCTTTGAACCACTATCTTCCTATCCTCAGATCTCAGCCTCCCGAGTAGCTAGAATTCCAGTGATATTTACCCTTTGTGTCAGTTATGAAGAAACACCTGTCACTCTACTCCATAGTTTTCAGTGCTGTCCCTGATCTTTTTTGCTCAAGGCTACTACTCTACCACTTTGAGGTACAGCCTCACTTCTGGGTTTCTAGTAGTTAATTGGAGATAAGAGTTTTGTGGGGCTGGGAAGGTGACTCAGTGGTACAGTGCTTGCCTTGCATGTATGAGGCCCTGGGTTCGATTCCTCAGCACCACAGAATCAGAAAAAGCCATAAGTGGCGCTGTGGCTCAAGTGGTAGAGTACTAGCCTTGAGCTGAAGAGCTGAAGGACAGCACCCAGGCCCAGAGTTCAAGCCCCACGACCTACAAAAAAAAGAAAAAAAGTTATGGCCAAACTTTAAAAAATGTAAAATCGCATCTTGTAAACATGAAGAGTTGTACCTGCACATATGACCTTTGTGAACCGAAATTTGCATGTATAATCTGTGTTTACTTGTAACTCTGGTTATATTCTGCTTATATATGTGGATTCAAGTTACTGAAGTAAATACCAATAAAAAAATCTAGGCCATGTTCATTGGTTATACATGTTTGGAATGTTAACCCCCCCCAAAAAAAGTTTTGTGGACATTCTTGCCTGGGCTGCCTTAGATCCTCCAATCTCAGCCTCCTGAGTAACTCGGATTACAGGTGAAAACCATTGGTCTCTAGCATCATATTTCATACTTTTTGAATAGGAGATTTGATTATTTTTTAGTAAATATTTCAGAAACTTTATTTTGTTTTTTGTTTTTTGGTCAGTCGTGGGGCTTGAACTCTGGGCTTGGGCGCTGTCCCTCATCTCTTCAGCTCAAGGCCAGTGCTTTACCCCTTGAGTCACAGCACCACTTCCTTGATTTTTTTAATCTTTATATATTCAAATAAAGTCAGTTTTTCTTCTTTCAAATCAAGAAACTTGTATTCTATGTTAATATATGCCTTACAAATCACATTTATCAGTGAATTTGTCACATGTTAAAAGTCACTGATTTTTCAATATTTAAAAGGCTTTCTGTAGTAAAGATGATTTTCTTTTTTGTGGGGGGGCGGTCGTGGGGCCTGAACTCTGGGCCTGGGCGCTGTCCCTCAACTCTTCAGCTGAAGGCTAGCGCTCTACCACTTGAGCCACAGTACCACTTCTGGCTTTTTTCTTTTTGCTTATGTGGTGCTGAGGAATCAAGCCCAGGGCCTTAAGCATGCAAGGCAAGCATTCTACCACTGAGCCACCTTCCTAGCCCCAGTAAAGATGATTTTAAAAATAGTTTTCAAGTTTGTATAGTAAGTCAAGATGGGTTTAGTCAAATTTCAGCCTTCAGATTTCCAAAAATTCTGACTTATTTTTGCTCTTACATAGTAGCTCTTTAAAAAGCAAAAGCACAAACAAAATTATCATTCCTCAATAGGAATAAGCTGCCAGGCGCCAGTGGCTCACTTCTGTAATCCTAGCTATTCAGGAGGCTGAGATCTGAAAATCGCAGTTTAAAGCTAGCATAGGCAGGAAAGTCCATGAGACTCTTATCTCCAATAAACTAATCAGAAAACTGGAAGTGGTGCTGTGGCTGAAGTGGTAGAGCACTAGCCTTGAGCTGAAGAGCTGATGGACAGCGCCCAGGCCCAGAGTTCAGGCCCCATGACCAGACCCCCCCCCAAAATAAAAGAAAATCATCTTTACTACAGAAAGCCATTGACAAAGAATAAATAAATAGGTATACGCTATTTGAATAGCACTCAGGCAATATTTTTAAAAGTTACTGTCCCAGCTTCTTTTGTTCCTTGTCTTGAATCTCCAACTATCTGTATGGATAATATAAGTCACTGCTCCAGCAGTTGAATGCTGCAGTGCTTTGGTAGAGTTTTGGGTTTTTTTACTACATTTTAAATCTTTGGTGGGTGTAAAAGAATAATTTGCCAGGTGCTGGGGGCTGTGGCCTATAATCCTAACTACTCAGGAGGCAGAGATCTCTGGATTGTGGTTCAAAGTCTCCAGGGCTGGAATGGCCTTGAGACTCTTTATCTCCAATTAACCATCAGAAAACCAGAAATGGAGCTGTAGCTTAAAGTGGTGGAGCACTGTCCTTGGGCACCAAGCTTTCAAGCCCAACAACCAATGAAAACAACAACAAAGAGAATGATTTGGTGTCTTCTACAGTTGCTCCATATCATTTTAAATTTAAAAAATAGAAAACACAGGCAACTTAATTGAACTACTGTAGGCTGTCTCCATTGGGTTTCTGTGGTTTAGGACACCCCCACCAACCCAGTGCATGCCGATGCGTCAAACTGATCAGCAGCGGCTACCCATGACAAGAATTGACCACCTCGTGGGATCTAAAATTTTATGGGGTAAAAGTGAGTTGTGAATTGTTGATGTGCTGACTGCTCCATTTTGCTTGAGAATCAGAGGACAGTTTTGGCAGTTGATGGAATGTCTTTCAGTGTTCTTTGCAAGTCAAAAGAAGTATGTTGATGATACTACTAACATTTGCTGATACTACCATTTCATTTTAAGTATTTATGGTATTTTTCTGTTGTGAATTTGTATTTAAACTCTTACAAATTGAAATTACTGGAATAAAAAATTTTGAAAAACTATTTTGATCTAGTTTGTTTAGAGAAGAATTTCCCATGGAAGTATAAGGCTGCAATGCTGCATGCAGACTGTTGAAATGTCTGTACATTCTCATTGTGCTCCACTCAGCAACAACTGGCTGTTTGAAAGCATTTGCTTCTCTAAACCAGAAAAAAAAGGGGGGAGGATTCCGCGCTTATCCAAGTTGATTGCAAAATGGTCACTGTTTGAATTAAACTTCAAAAATATGGTAAACAAATTTTGTTTGCTTATTTTCAGCTGGCAGCCAGAGAGGCAGATCCCATTCCATGATGTGAGATTCCCACCACCTGTAGGTTATAATAAAGATATAAATGAAAGTGATGAAGTTGAGGTGAGTTACCACTGTCAAGAAATTATTAAATATTCAAGGAGTGCGAAGTACTTAATTTGCTTCGGATATTTAATTATACCTTGCCTTTAGCAATGTTTAAACTACTTTGAGTTTTATTAGTGTTTTGATGCTATGTAATATCCTTTTAAGAGTATATAGGCAGTTTATTGTATTTTTTTCTTAAACCTTAATATCTTCCTGGTATATAATTTTTGAAAATACACCTTTTAGTTTATACGTATAATAAAACCTTTTTTCACAGGACATACTCTGAACCATGCTCATCTCCCATGGAGCTCTTTGACTAAAAGTTGCTATAGAGACTTAACGCATGATCAAAATCATTGTGTTCATGATTCCCTATTCATTGGGAATTTTTTTTTATTAATCCACGTTTAAAATGTTTTGACGTTACAGTTTTGTGTAGTTTCTTAGCCTTTTACACACTGCATTTTAAGCTTCATCTTTTATTTCCATTGTGGAAATTTCTTGAGTATTTATTGTATGCAGAATACTTTTATAGAGATAAAACAAAAGGTACTAAGTCCTTAAACTCTTTTGCTCTTGAGTGCTAAAAGTACAGGAAAACAGGACAATCTCCTGCCTTAGTTTAGTCATGAGGGTCATAGCAAGTGAAAGTCATGAAGAAAGAAAATCAAAACAGGTAACCATACACAAGGCTGCAATGTTTTAGGATGTAGTCAGGAATGTCTCTATATGTCTAGGGCTGTGTTCTCTCCATAGTTTATAAGTGGAAATGGAATAAAGTTTTATATACTTACCAAGAATATACTGAGTAGCTATAAGCAACTGGGTTTTGTTTTGAAAGCAATACTAATGAAATAGAAACATTGCATGTAGTTCAAAAACTTTAAATGTCCACTTCTCCAGGACATTATGAGCTTTCTGAAGGCAAGGACCACATTTTTTAGTCTGTCTATATTGGAAGTACTATATTGGAAGTGTTTGATGAAGAAGAAGATCTTTTGTTTTTCAATGTAATCACATGACATGACAAGTTGAAATTTCTGTGGTGAGCTGACTAAAGTATCTAAGAGTCAGCCATTAGAGTAGATTAAGAGTTGAGAGACTAATAGAGGTAAGAGGGAAAGATAGGTTCCTTAACTTATGCTACATTTTAGTCACCTTATTGAATAACCATTAGCTTTGGTTGTAAAGGGGAAATGAGTGAGAACCTGACTTGCTTTCAGCCTTTTACTCTTCTCCCCTCCCCTCCCCTCCCCTCCTCTCCTCTCCTTTCCTTTCCTCTCCTCTCCTCTCCTCTCCTCTCCTCTCCTCTCTTCTCCTCTCCTCCCTTCCCTTCTCCTCTCTTCCCCTCCCTTTCCCTCCCTTACCCTCCCCTCCTCTCCTCTCCTCTTTCTTATTTTCCTTTGTGCTTCTGAGTATTTCCATTTCTCTTTGCATATATACAGTACTTTTCTATCAACCTTGATTTGCTAGTATCCTCCAGAGAAATTTAGAATTGATCCACAATCGTGTGATGAAGTAGGAAGACAATACTCAGAGACTGACAGTGTATGTGAATTTGTCCTTTTTAATGGAGAGGAATTTGGAGGAATGAAGGCCCTAGTGCTGACTGGTCAGCAGTCTTACACATTTGATATTCACACAGTAGGCCAGTCAGTAAATTCCAGTAAATTTTATAGCTCACTACCTAAGGAAAGTATATCTATGTGTATGAATCGCAGCTTTTCCTAAGCATCTGTGTTTGGAGTATTAATTACATAAAGTAGAACGAAGATGTAAAAAACTACTTATAGCAGGGAGCTTACTCTCAAGCAGTCTCAGGTAACTTCTGATTAGGTAACTTTGTCTAGCTCAGAAAGCATAGACAGAGGTACAATTTGATTGAAGGCATATGATTTAAAAGTTACATGGTTTAAAGGATACCTAGAGGAATTTCATGAAAGTTTTCTCAGTGTCTGATAATCTATGTATTTCCAACTTAACATTAATCACCAAATATTGTATGTTGTAATTTTTGTGTAGGTTTATTCCAGAGCAAATGAAAAGGAGCCTTGCTGTTGGTGGTTAGCCAAAGTGAGGATGATAAAGGGTGAGGTAAGAAAGTGCTTAATTTTTTTTTTCCTTATACTATTTCCCTTTCATAAACCTGGTTAAGGTTACATTATAGTTTAGGTTGCTATTTGAATGTCTTATTTTAGTCATTTTATTAAAACGTTTCACTGTATAATTAGTGCATTTCATATATTGTAATTAAAGTTTTGTTTTCCTCTAGAGGATTTATTTTTAAAACAGGTATATAATTTTTTCACTTTTTGCTTTAAAAGCTAAAAGTGACTTATTTATTTTGTCAGTTTTATGTGATAGAATATGCAGCCTGTGATGCTACATACAATGAAATTGTCACAATTGAGCGCCTAAGATCTGTGAATCCCAACAAACCTGCTACTAAGGATACTTTTCATAAAATCAAGCTGGAAGTACCAGAAGACTTACGGCAAATGTAAGTTATCACATGAGAGTCGCTGAGGAGATACAAGTGAAATGATATGCAATTAAAAGAATACAAATTTTAAAATATTAGAAGTTGGGATTTATATTCAGTGAATTTTGGGAAAAAATGATTTAAATTCCCAAAAGTAGTAAGTCTGATGTGGACATCTTGTATCTCACTGAAATATTACAGAATAGATCGACTAACGATTGTGGATATAAAATTGTTGCATTTTTCATTCATATGTATTCCCTACTCTCATTCAAGAGGCCAGCTGTTTTTCTTTGCAAAAGAAGAAATAAGGCCAGGTTAAGTAAATTTTAAAAATAGCTGAGGCAAAAGGCAAGGCCCCTTCTTAACAAAGTAGCCAGACATGGTGGTACAATCAACCTAGTTGTACTGGAAGTGCAAATAGGAGTATCTAAGACCAAGGCCAGCGCCAAACAGTAGGGTGAGACATTATCGTAATCACTAAAGCAAAAAGAACTGGGGTAGGTAGCCTGCAGAGGAAAGTAGTTCCCCTCTTAACAATGAGTTTTTTAATTTCTAGGTGTGCTAAAGAATCTGCACATAAAGACTTTAAAAAGGCAGTTGGTGCCTTTTCTGTATCTTATGACCCAGAAACTTATCAGCTTGTCATTTTGGTGAGTTTTTCTATATCATCTAGTTTTGGTTTATTTCATTTGGAGCAATTTCCTTTGAGACTAATGTTGTTACCTTACCTAGTCCATCAATGAAGTCACCTCAAAGCGAGCACATATGCTGATTGACATGCACTTTCGGAGTCTCCGCACTAAATTATCGCTGATCCTGAGAAATGAAGAGGCCAGTAAGCAACTGGAGGTATGTCACTTTCCCTAGCTCTGTTTGTAAGACTACCTACAAATGACAGTTGTACTTTTTCAAAATTGAATATGGGCAGCTTGTCTTAATTCTTTATAATTTGGAAGATTAAATGTACAAAGCATAATCATATTACAATATTCATGGCTGGTGTTTCAAAATTAAACAGCATTTCATGTCTTTAAGGAACTTCTGGTAATTCAGTTTTACTATACGTTTTCAAAGCTGCTGTAAATTGAAGCAATGCTTCCTCCATAGAACATATTATTAGTAAAGTACTGGACAGTATATAAATATCTAATCATATTCCTTTCATTATGTATGTTTATCTCTGTTTAAAAGGGTATAGAACTTCTTCATTCTAATTGGTTGTCACTCTTTAAAACTCCTGTCTGTCTTCAGATTCCTGCCAGAGGCTATTTCCCTAACTTACTATTTCGTCTCTTAAGGTGCATTTTATCTACTTTTATTAATCCTCCAATAATTTCCATCACCATACATTTATTTTCATTGATAACTATTTAGTACTTCCATCCATTGCCATAGAAACAAAATGGATTTTATTTTAATATACCAACTCAAGTAGATCAGAATTCCTCATCCTTATTCATTTCATTAGGGGGAAAATAGCAGTGGAGATAAAGGAGTTCCAAAGTGCATATTTATTGAGAGAAGGTGGTCAAGGCTGTGTTCACATAGAGCCCTATTTTTTTGCCACCTTCCAACTTGACATGTGGTTTCTGAACCCTTGGTAGGAAAGAAAAGTTTTTCTTATTGCCATGTAGCTCTGTTTGATTGATTGTTGCTTGTCCTTTCATCTTGTCCTGTGTTCACCATTTTGTGGTTTCTTCAGTGATGTTGCCATAACTTTTATCCAGAGTAGCCTCTTTAATTGTGAGTATCATGGAAGTATACTCATGCATCTTCTTAAACATCTAGTTTTTCCTAAATGCTCTGTTACCATTTGTCAGTAAGTTATCAATGAAAAGAATGAATTAGGCTAATGAACCAGTACTCAAAAAAACATGCTTTCTTGGAAAGTCCTAGGTAGATTGTGTATACTTATTACTATATTTTAAGTGGATTGTGTACTTTTAAAATTAGTTTACATACACTAGGTGAATTCATTTCTTTCAAATTAGCTGTGCTGAATAATGAGAAACTAGTATGCATGCCTATTTTTCACTACTAATAATAAACAGATTCATTTTATTCCTATAAGAAATACCCATTTTTCAACATGAGCCACTAATATGTTTGTTTTTCATTAATGGCATGCTAGAAATAAACTTTAAATTTTGATATACTATTTAAAGAAAACAATTATCCACAAGTTTGGATATCAATGGAATTTAGTTTTGTCACACTGAATATATTTTGAAGCGTTCATCATACTTGTGGATCCAGATCACAAGGTCTAGCAGACTCTGAACCTCATTGTAGGTCAGTTTTAGTTTTTGACGTACTGTTAAGATTCATTTAACTACCAAGCAACTTTTTTGGTTTCTTTGATTAGGTCTGGGGAGAAGAGAAGTCATGATTTCCATAGGGGGATTCTTTTACCTTTTTATTTAAATTTTATTTGAGTCTGCCAGACCCAGTGAGCTGGTTTTTATTTGGAAACATTTGATGTGCTTCTAATTAATTATTACATTGTTGATGCCATTGGTTAACTATGGCAGCCTTGCAAATAGGTTTTCAAGTTGGAAAACTGTCAGTAGCTCTATTCCTATCAACAGAAATGAATCATATGGCATGGACCTTCACTAACCTAGAAAGTACTTGTGCTATGGGAGATCATTTCTAAAATTAGTTTTCAACTGAAATCAATTTATAGGCCCCTGATATACGGGCTCAAGACAATTTACATGGCTGACCTATATTCAATTGTCTTAATAGTTAATCAAGCATAGTCATCAGATGTATGTTTCTCTTCAGAGTTCAAGGCAGCTTGCCTCAAGGTTTCATGAACAGTTTATCGTTCGAGAAGATCTGATGGGTCTAGCTATTGGTACTCATGGTGCTAATATCCAGCAAGCTAGAAAAGTACCTGGAGTCACTGCTATTGATCTAGATGAAGACACCTGCACATTTCATATTTATGGAGAGGTAAATATTTTACCAGATAGTTTCTCCCCACAAAAATATCAGTAGTTTAACTTTAGTCTTGAAACTTCTCTTCTTGTTAGGATCAGGATGCAGTAAAAAAGGCTAGAAGCTTTCTTGAATTTGCTGAAGATGTAATACAAGTTCCAAGGAATTTAGTAGGTAAGTCAGAAATAACCATTGACATAGATTACAAAGAAATGAGGGTAAACAAATTTTTATACTAATAAAATCTCATTTTCTTTCATTTAACATAATTTAATGGAAGTGTAAAAGAGATTGTTTTGCAGGTTCATAGTTACTAATGCTTGGAAGAATACATTTTGCCCAGCCTCCTCACCATGTAATTTTTTGTTACTTAAAATGAATATTTTAAATGAATATTAGGATTCCCCATAATTTGGAATATTTTGGGACTTGATCTTTAAAATGGACTCAAAGTGATAGCATTCATGTGAATTATCTCCGATGAAGATCTGAATGTAGACTTCTTAAATCTAATAAGTTCCAAACTAGAAGTCCAAATATTTGACTTGAGTACTATTTCATGACCACCATCACAAATATCTGAAGATATATAGAAATTCTTCACCCATACTCGCAAACATTGCAGCAATCTTCAGTAGACTATATTGAAACCACATCAAGAGATCAAATAGGATTTTATAAGGTTGAGACTAACTTGAAGATGGAAAAAAAGGCTTTCTTGTTTATTTTATATGCATAATTTCAAAGCTACTTGGTTTGCTTTTTAGTCAGCATAGGATAGGAATATCTTCTAATGTCAGTGAAAAGCACTAGTAATGACTGTATGCTGGTGTGTGCCTGTTTGTAATCCCAGCATTCAGGAGGTTGAAACAGGTAGATGGGGAATTCAAGGTCAGCCTGAGCTACATAGCAAAAAACCCTGGCTCTAAGCCCATGGTATTTCTTTCTCCTCTGAAAATAACTCGAATATAAAGTACAAGTACAAATGAAATTATGAGAAATTAATACTTCACTTCTATATTATAGGTGACTAAAGAAGATCACTAACATTATTTAAGTGACTTATATGCCAGTTGTATAAAAGAGTCACATACAGGGTGAATTAATTATCTTAAGGTTTTGAGGTTATAAATAAGATTTTCTTATTTATAAGTTATTAACCACGTACATGTAGGTTGAATAAGGAATGTTGCTGTAAATTTAGAAATTGAGGCATTCTTAGGAAAACATAGCCAAAAGTGTCTTAAAATTATCATGTCGATGGAAATTTAGGTTTCAGTTCCATGAATGTTTATTTTGAAGGTGGTATTATGGTAGGCAGAAGTGCTTGGGCATAGGAGTTCAGTCATACTTCATTATTTGGTAGCTGTGCAACTCTGGACAATTGATAATAGTCTCCCAGAGTAGAATCTTCCCTATTTTTCAAATAAATGTGATAATACTATCTACCTTTCTGAGAGATGGATATGGGGCGTGCTTTGTGTGTATAAAGTACTCTTACAGTTCTGGACATTAGTAGGAGACTCAGTAAAATAACTATGTTAGTAGAGCAGGATTGTAGTAAGTCGATCTTTGGGTTTTAGAAATACCTGTGATGTAGAATTGGATTGTTACTAAATGGTAAATCTAGATTCCACCTTTGGTCTTACTGGAAAAAGAGGAGCCAAATAAGAGAATTCTTTTGAGGCATGGGAGGGTTGGGTGGGGGGGAGGGAGGATAGGAAGGGGAAACAAAGAAAGAGGCTGCAATGCTTGATAAGAAATGTACTCATTATCTTGCCCATGTAATTGTAACCCCTCTGTACAGTATTTTCACAATAAAAAAATTAAAAAAATTCTTTTGAGGCAGTATCCTGCAACACTGGGATGGTTGGAGATTTTCAGAAAGCCTTTTTATGCAGGTCTTTAGGAGATGTCATAATCAGTATTGCATATGTTTCCTTAAAGTCTCACAATATGACTGATCTCTTTAACATGTACACTGATTTGTCTTTCTTTAAATTTGCTTATTCTGGGGCTGGGAAGTTGGCTCAGTGATAGAGTGCTTGCCTTGCTTGCATGAGGTCCTGGGTTTGATTCTTGAGCACCACATAAGCAGAAAAAGCTAGAAGTGGCTCTTTGGCTCAAGTGGTAGAGCACTAGCTTTGAGCTGAAGACCTGAGGTATAGCACCCAGGCCCAGAGTTCAGGCCCCATGACTGACCGAAAAAAAAAAATTTGCTTGCTCTTCACCACCTTTGACAATGAGTTTAAGTGTTTAGTCAGCTACAGTTAATGCAGAATAGTCAATGTACAATCTCAATAGAAATGTACTAAAATCTCACTTTTTTCTTACTTTTCTAGACTATTAAAGTCAGCATTCATCAGTATGTTTATAAATTATACACAAACTGGGAAGGTGTAGATAACTAATCTTACCTATTTCTCCTTTTCATTTAAAGAAGAGCATAAATAATTGGCAAGGTCCTAGGAATCCTGATTTGATAACATCAGTTCCTTTTTTTTGTGTGCCAGTATTAGTGGTCACACTCATGGCCTGGGAGCTGTCCCTTAGATTTTGTGTGTATGTATATCGGTTGTGGGGCTTGAATTCAGGGCCTGGGTGCCATACTTGAGCTTTTGCACTCAAGGCTAAAACTCTACCTCTACTTCTGTTCTTCTGGGGTAATTTGGAGATAAGAGTCTCATGGATTTTCCTGCCCTGGCTGGCTTCAAACCATAATCCTTAGATCTCAGACTCCTGAGTAGCTAGGATTACAGGCATGAACCACTGGCACTCGGCTGGCCCTTAATTGTTTTGGAGAAGGCTAGTATGCTACCACTCGAGCCACAGTTCTACTTCCAGCTTTTTGGTGGTTTATTAAAGATGAGAATCTCATAGTTTCCTGCTCAGGCTGGCTTCAAACTGATCCTCAGATCTCTGCCACCTGAGAGGTAGGATTACAGGTGTGAACCACCAGTGTCCGGCTGAATAGCCAGTAAGTGCCCTTACCCATATCCAGGGTGTAATAGCTGTGCTCTGCTTGTGAAAGACATGGATTCCTCCATGAGGTAATGTAGCAAGTTTTGGCTTTATAAATTAAGGAAAGAATCAAGTGCTGTTTAGTAGTAGTACTTGAAATCTTTGAAGTTTTAACCAAGTTTGTTGGAGTGCTTTTTTATATGTAAGTTTTTCATTGTAATTTTGACTTAAAGCATGCTTTCTTAATCTTACACTCTGACTACTCCATCTATTCTGCTCTAATTTGTGACTAATGCACAGAAATAATATTCTGTTGACAAATTAGCCCAAACAGTTTCTATTGTTTTCAAATAGATGTATAGCTGCTTAAGCTTCTTTTGAATATCTGTTTCATATGTGCTCTAATTATATTTACCATAAAGAAATAAGATTTGAATCAAGTATAGATAAGAATTGGAATTGTCAAATGTGCAGGTATATTTACTGTTATCTATCCTCCTTAATTCCTTTTGTAGAACTTCTCAGCATGATAAATACCACAGTACCAGCAAGCCAAAGGATACCCTCTTAATACACTATAAGCTTTTTCTACCTTAAAAATTCAACCTTACCAAATCAGGTCACATATACTAATCAAGGGTTTTTGTTTTGAATTTTATTCAGTTCCCTGTGTGTGTATGTATGTGTGTATTGTTATAGTTTAGAGTAATTGAGGTGTTTGAGGGTATGTTTTTAAAACCAAACATGAATTATTCATTTCTTAGGTAAAGTAATAGGAAAAAATGGAAAACTGATTCAGGAAATTGTGGACAAATCAGGAGTTGTGAGGGTGAGGATTGAGGCTGAAAATGAGAAAAATGTCCCTCAAGAAGAGGTATGTTATTGTTCATATATTTCTAGTTTATCTAATAAAAGTTTCTATTGTTTAATTTGACATATTACCTTCGAAACAGAAATACACATGAGATTAATGGAAAACCTCTTTTTTTCCAGAGCTTTGTGCTTATGTATCTGATACGACTTAGTACTGTTTGTGGTTTAATAGTAGACTCTATTTATTCGGATGCTATGATTTTGGATTAGTAACTTTAACCTATGCTCTTAAAATGGACAGTCATAAGCTTGCTAATATTAGTGACAACTTAATGAAATAATGTATGTGAACGTGTTTTGTTTAAAAAGCACTTTTCAAATGTTAATGTTGCTGACACAGACAAAATTAGAAGACAAGTTAAGCTTTCTGGTTTTCTACTGTTCTTTTACCTTGAGAATTACGTTACATGTATGTTTTCTCTGTACTTTAAATTTTTTTCTGACTAATATACATCACTTTCCCCAATGTTCTCATTTTAAAATTTTATAATCTGAACTTTTACCTTCCTATTATATTTTATGGTAGCTACCCTTGCAGTACTTGTATACCTTCTGTGCAATACTATACTTAAGCTACTGTCCCTCCAAAATGTAATTTTCATATATTGTTTAGTCTTTTGTGTAAGGTATTTTTATTTGAAATTAAACCCTTGGCTTTTATTGCATAATATTTGGATTCAGTAGTTTATATGCAATACTGTGTATAATGATCATGGAGGAAGAGTTGAGTTTTGTAATATGTTTATATATCATTATTTAAGTATTAAATGGTATGTTTACTAGAAATAATTGATGAAATAATGGAGTTGTTAAATTGGCGCTTTCTACTTGAGGGTCAGGGACATTGCTGGGGTTTGAACTTAGTATTTTGTATTTCATAGACTGTACTGCTTAAGCTAACATAGCTGCAGCCCAAAATTGGTCCTTTTGAAAACTTCTGTTTTGTGTTCTTTGATTTTTTTTTTATCCAGGAAATAATGCCACCAAATTCCCTACCTTCCAATAATTCAAGGGTTGGACCTAATTCCTCTGAAGAAAAAAAACATTTAGATTTAAAGGAAAATAGTGCCCATTTTTCTCAGCCTAATAGCACAAAAGTACAGAGGGTAAGACTGTTTTTAACTTTGAATTACACTAAAATTTCTTCAACTCAGATGTAACAGTTGGTATTTTGAGTCTCTTTCTGATTAGACTGTTAGGCTACTCATATTATTTACAGATCTGATTGGCAGCTTACAAGATCTTAGAAACCAAAGTTATGCATACTTTTCCTCATGTATACGAGGCAAGCACTCTACCACTGAGCCACCTTCCCAGCCCATACTTTTCAATTTGTTCACAGTGACAAATCTTTAGAATAATGGATTCCCTGTTCCTGCTGAAGGTAGATATTTTTTATGCTGCATTTTCTTAAATTTTGTAGGTACAGTAGGTCAAAATATACTTTCTGCTAGATACCTTAATTTGTCAAAATTCCATTATTTTGTATAATTAGTGCACACATAATAAAAGAAAAACATTTTTAGAAACTTTTCACTATTTAACCTAGCAATTTAGAAATGGGTTTAGAAGCCCTTCAAAGAAAGTCCTGTGTTCAGGCTTCTGTGTATCATTTGTTATAGTTAAGGACATCACTTGCATTCCTTATACTGTTTTAGGTGGTAGTGGTTTCATCAGTTGTAGCAGGGGAATCCCAGAAACCTGACCTCAAGGCTTGGCAATGAGGAAAAGATTCCTTGAAAAATACATTAAGTTTATATTTCAATATTTAGTCCCCTTGTTAAGAAAGACTGCAAATAAGCCTCTTGGAACATTATCATATTCTGATTCTTCTAGACATGCATGATAAATCTCACTGTGAGTTTATTCTACCTGGAGCACTCTTTCTCCCTCATTTGCCTCTTCATTTTGACCTTACTCCTTGTGAAACTTTGACTGTGTATTTGCCAGTTTCCCTCCCCTCTCACTACTCCACTTTGCACATCCTCAGTATAACACTTTTATTAGAGGGTCCTCTCCCTGGTCTGTGAAAACTATATGAGAAAGATGTATGACTCAGGGGATATTAAAACCAAAAATGCTGTTGTACAGAGCACTGTATCTGCAAATAAATTGGGTAATCTGAGCTGGGCAGCTCAACTCTTATCCTAGAATAAGGAATCACTTTTCTAGTGTATGAGTTGAAAGCAACCTTCTCTTTTCTCCTTTCTTCATTGGAATTGATTCAGGTCTTCTGACAAGATGCTTAAATTACTCCACCAGTTCAGACATGCTCTAAGAGAAAATGTCTTTAAATGATTTTCTGCAAAGTCAGGTTAGCTGAATTTGAAACATTGGCTTTGAAAGCATAGTTTGGTAATTATTTGGAGCAGTGTAACATTCTGTCATATTATATTTCGTGAAATAATATGGGCTAACAGCGTCATAACAAAGTTAGTTGGGGAAGAAACACAATAGCCAAAACAGTATTTTCAGATAAGATTTTATTTATAGGCTTCATTATTTTGATACATAAAAATCCACATGAAGTCTATGGGTTTTCAGTGTCACCTGATTCTTCAGATTGTCCTTAGTAATAGGAGGCAATGCCTCACCTACTAGATGAAGGTCAGTATTTAGTACTTTGTAATTGTTCATGTAATTGATCAGTTTCCTTCTCCATCTGCACCTATGTTCATGTATACGGAAAAACCAAAGCTTGTGTCAGCCATTAATTGTAAGCAACAAAAGCAGCCCAACGGTAGCAACACCTACCAAATGGATAATCTGTGTGAGAAAGATACTTGGCTCAAGGGACAGTTTCTTGGCTCCTCACTCTTTTTAACTTTGCCTAATGGTTGTAATGTATCCATATCAAAGCTACCATAATAGCTTGTATTAGTTGGTGATTATCAGTAACCATGCATATTTCTCCAGTAGCAAATAGTGGACTATTCTCGATTTTAACTGTCAGAATTACCTACTCTTTGCCCAACTGTGGCTGGGCTTCCCTAGTGCTTGTGAAAAATATTTTTTTTTCCTTTCATTTATACTGATGGGCTAAAAGTGTGCGGGTTTGTACATTATCTCATTTAAAATCTGTGCTTTAATATACTAAAGTGGTATGCATAGAAAATAAAACAGTTTTTAGAAAAGATTGAATGTGTTATTAGAATTTGTATAATCTGTATAAACTTTATGCTCATGGAAATACCTAACTTTTTGTCATGCAAATTACCTACTACATTTTTATTCATACAGATTTTTTGTTGAGCAATTTTTTATATTGTATTAACTTTTCTGTCCCCCATATGTTGTTTTGTCCCCCATATGTTGTTTTGAATTATTTTTCTAAAGATTCTGATTTAGGTAAAACTTGGAGTAAATGCATTGGAATATTTTAAAGTATTCATTTTGTTTATGCATCTCATGGTAAATCATGTATGACTTTAATATTTTTTGTGATTTTGACATTTAATGGTACTCTTTAAACTGGAGTGTGATTAGCTGGGCACCTTAGTGGCTTATGCCTATAATCCTAACTACTCAAGTGGCTGAAATCTGTGGATTGTGGTTCAAAGCCAGCAGGAAAGTTCATTAGACTCTAAATCTCTAAATGACCACTTAAAAAACTGGAAATGGAACAGTGGCTCAAGTGGTAGAATACAGCAAATAAAGCCAAGGAACAGCACATAGTTCCCTAATTCACATCCAGGACTGGCACCAAAAAAATTATTTGTGTTGTTTTGACCTCTCCTTATTCATATTAGAATATACCAACTACTTGGTTTTTTCCTTATATTTTCAAGAAATATGTACAACTATTGTTCACTAGACTGTACTAGGGATTTAATCATTATTTGTTTTGTCAAATTATTCATCACAAATATTTTTGGGCTCATTGTTGCAATTTCTTTTTCAGGGCATGGTACCATTTGTTTTTGTGGGAACAAAAGACAGCATCGCTAATGCTACTGTCCTTTTGGATTATCATCTGAACTACTTAAAGGTGAGAACATGACTTTCTAATTCATTTGCGCTAAAATATAAAAACTGAATTTTCATTAATTATTGTTCATTATAGTCAGTGCATAACAATGTATAACCCTGTAAATGGTCATAGAAAAAATAGTTTATTCAGCTTATATCCCTCCTGAAAACAAAGCTTTTTCATTATAAATTTGAGGACTAGTAAATTCTCAATAAATTCCTATGTTTCCACTAACTCATCATTAAATACTTACATTCAATTTGGTTAATCCTGTACGTAGCCCCCTTGATTATTTCTAGCTTTTGTAGACTTTATGTGTAGGCTAAATTTTGTGCTCATAACACTTGCCTTTGTTGTCGCTTTTATATCACTTAGCAGGGCACTCCTAGCATTCCATGAAGTATTCTGATTCAGTGTTTGCCCTTCATATTTTTTCTATCCTCTGTGATTCAAAAAAAAATTGTTTTCGTCAGTGAGTGCTTGTATGATTTTGCCTCCTGTAGCTTGCAAGCTGGGATGTAAGAACAAGGAGGTTGTAAGATGTGGAAAGAGTACAATCTAGATTGCAATAATAAACTGCAGTAATACTTCTATCACTAGGTATGTGACCTTAGGCAAGTCACTTTATAGACTAGAGTCTTTTTGAAATTTCCTTTGGCCAAAACGTCCTGTAAATTTTAATAAAATAGAATCTTACTGTTTAATTTTTGTTATTTGCTTCTTTGTATTTATATCTATTAAAACTGCAGTGTAGCTGTTACTGAGTGCTATAAACAGCAATCTGACTTTGTTTGGTTTGTATAACAATTTTATTCTTTTGCTGGCTTAAATAAAGATAAATTATTCTAATTATATGTAAATAAGAGTGAAAGGAAGAAAAAATAGTAATAGTTGGCTAATTCATTTATACTTCATAGTGGTAAGTTAATTAAAAGTGGCAAGGTTTCATCCAGCAAAGTTTGCATGGATATGATATTTGATTTATTTTTATTTGACAGTGTGTTTCATGTGTAATATGTTGCAAGTATTTTTCTTTATACTCTTAGCTTAAGTAATTACAGAGACCTTAGCAGTTAAGGTTACATTGTGTCACATCTCTTGTTCTCTTAGATCTTTTGCTTTCTTCTTCACTGTTGAATATTTTATTTGGCTATCACCAGCTGTTTTATTGACATTCTTTCCATCACTAGATCTTCCCTTGCATCTCTAAGCAAAAGATGGTTATTTTGCCCTAGTAGAAGTATTCCGTTGTGTTTTACAAAACCTTTATACACATTCCATGAAGTATTAATCTATTGTTTTCCAGATGCTATGATATGTTCCAAAATTTTAGAAACCTAAGTTTTAAGGGTCTTCTCCAATAACTTTTCATTCAGATAGTCTCTGTGATAACCTCTTTTTCTGGGACATTAACTAACTATAGTTACAGATCTGTTTCTCTGTAGCTAGAAAATGAGGTGTTTATGGATAGATTGGAAAGACGAGTTATAAAAATGTGTCATCTGGATTTTACAGAACCTAGTTTATTGGAAGCACTCTGTATAAGGAAGGGTCTGTTAGTAGAACCTGGAGTATCTTTTGTTTAAGTGAATATACTTGTGTTAGCCAAGTTTTAGATTTTGAAAGGTTTCCAAGTTATGATGCAAGACATAGTTATTTTGATTAGCTTCTAAATAGTTGTTATTCCTCTTCATATAAAGGATATATTCAATTTGTGGAAAATACTTTTCCTTAATCATACAATCACATCCAAAGATGGCCCAGTCTCAGTACTTTGTGAATTAAGATATTCACTGGCAGATCCATTTCTATGAAGATAATTTGCAATATGTGATTTTTTTTGACAGTTGATTAAACCTTAAATGTCATTTATCTGTATTTATACATTTTAGTATTGTTTTATTGAATATCCTGTCACTAAGAAATCCCCAAACTAGCATATCTTTAATTTTGGACAATAATAACTAGTATCTATAGTAATTTTCTTTTTAAGGAGACCATTCAATGCCCTGATAATGCTGTTAACAGTGTTTACTGTAAATTTAGAGCTGAAATTGAAATGTTTCCAGTATACTTTTTTATCTGATAAAAAGGAGAAAGATATTAAGTAAAATGTCAAATTATTTTTACTGTTATCTTGTATATTTTAAATAGGAAGTAGACCAGTTGCGTTTGGAGAGATTACAAATTGATGAGCAGTTGCGACAGATTGGAGCTAGTTCTAGACCACCACCAAATCGTACAGATAAGGAAAAAGGCTATGTGACTGATGATGGTCAAGGAATGGGTCGAGGTAGTAGACCTTACAGAAATAGGGGGCACGGCAGACGCGGTCCTGGATATACTTCAGGTACAAACTAAGCATTTTACTCAGTAACTTTTATGTGTTCCTAGATTCAATAGCTGCTAATCTCTGATACTCATTAAACCTCCATGATAACAATTTCTCACAACATGGTTTCCAACTGCCAATGGGTCATATTGTGATTCAAGAAACATACAGTGTAAAAACCTGATAATGGCACACACAGTTTTCAGGGAAGTTGTGAGTTCTATCCATGATCTGATTTGGAGATACATCTGTATAAACCCTGGTGTATTGTTGACCTAAGACCTCCCCTGATTTTATTACTGTATAGCCAGAACTCTGCATCTGTGTACTATGGCTCATTTTTTTTTTGTCAGACAAGTGCTGGTCATACTTGCTGGATGGACTATATTAACCAGGGGTCTACATTTTTAGAGGCATGGCCAGAGTCAGCCCTAGGCACAGTCTAGAAGTAGGCAAAGTTTTTCTTTGCCTTCCCAGCTCTTCTGTCCATGCTTCTTCTCTCACAATACCTTTCAGTGAACCCAGTCCCAACTACCAGTGCCTACTGTCTTTTTGCTCAACTGTGTATCTACTATGTAACTTGCTAATGATGATGGTATAAGGTATAATCCATCTCACAAATATTTGCATTTCAAAAAGGAACTCTTTAAGATGGAAAAGCCTTCAAGATCCACAGGAATGAAGCTATAATGGTGAAGCTATAATTGGTCATTAGCTCCAACAGAGGAAGAGAGAGAGGTAGTAGAGTTGATATACTGGAGTGGGGAAAGACACATGCTCCTAAGGCCAACCTTGAACCTAACCCCTAACCCCTCTCCCAAAAATTCTGTTCTTTTACCAAGAAAGTTCCACCTTACTGTGGAGTTCTTTTCCTCCACTCCCATCTCCTATGTCTTTAATCCATTCAGGCATAATGAGTTTTTGTAGCAGTCTTTTATTAAATTATGAATTATTCCACTGGGAGTGGGAGGGAAGGTTGTGAACCATACATCAGTCAAGTATATTCCCCTTCACTGGGGATTATTTGATAGAGACCCTTCCCTCAGGCAGATGCCATGGTGGCCTTCTTGCCACCTGTTCACAAGTGATCAAAATGAGTACATTCCCTTCCAACCCCGGGTGAAATCTTGTTAAAAAGCTCTCTTTATAGAAGTTTTGTGTATCAAAAGTTTGCATTTAATTCTTGTAGACAACTTTTTCTCCAGACAGCACAGATGTTTAAAAGAACACAGCTGTTCAAAGATGTGGCACATTCAGGTTTGAATTTAGGTAGCTCATAACATACCCTTTAAAAAAGTATTTATGACCAGAATAGTCTCAAGTATTACAAAACCCTTCACTTTGAAATTGAAATTACTTGTTTTACTAAATAGAACATAGTAGTTTCTGATGGGCTTCATAATGGGAAGAGTATTGGATTACCCCTGAAACTTCGTCTCTGGAAGCTTCTGTTAACCTTTTTTTTTATGTCAGACAATGGTATATAACTTTTAACTCTCGATAGGAACTAATTCTGAAGCATCAAATGCTTCTGAAACAGAATCTGACCACAGAGACGAACTCAGTGATTGGTCATTAGCTCCAACAGAGGAAGAGAGGGAGAGCTTCCTGCGCAGAGGAGACGGACGGCGGCGTGGAGGGGGAGGAAGAGGACAAGGAGGAAGAGGACGAGGAGGAGGCTTCAAAGGTATAATGATTTTCATTATTGAAAAATTAAGGCGATTTTTTACAACTGTATGAAGTCCCATGAAAGAAATGCCTGGCAACGGAATTATGTGTTATCCTGTTTTCTGCTGATTGACATTGGAAGGAATTAGCCTTTGATTTACGTAGTAACAGTATTAGCTTTCTTGTGGTTTATATAGAATGTAACTAAAGATTGGTGACTAGTTCATCTTATTTGAGGATTCTAATCAGTATCTGATTGTTAATCCAGACTTACTGAATATTTTTCCATTTCTTGATAGAATCATGGATACGAACTATAATGTAATACTGGAATCAGTAGGCTATTTTAGTTTCTATGCTTGATCAACCTGGTAGATGTAAGAATACGGAATTTCCATTAAGCCTAATTGTTGAACATTTTAAAAATATGTAGGCAACGACGATCACTCCCGAACTGATAATCGTCCGCGTAATCCAAGAGAGGCTAAAGGAAGAACAGCTGATGGATCTCTTCAGGTAAAACTTAATGTGCTTTCTTATATCTAAATTGCTTTAACATGGCAACTTGAGATTTATGAGTTTATCTTTATTTTTAAGCATGTTGGTAAATTTGACATAGACAAAATGTTTTTCCTTCAGCATCACAGTTGTGGGTAATTGTGGCCCTTAGGGATAAGAATACAATTATTGGATTTCTCTAGAGAATATGCAGTATTTATAAAGATTTCAGTGGCCATACTATAATTGAAATACCACATTGTTGGGCTACAATTAATTCCCCCAAGAAAAGAAATATTCTGAAATACACTAAGAGACTTGAGTAAGTCCTCTAGGTCCTTTCTACTTCGAATTGTAGTGATAGGAGAATGGAAAAGTAGTTATGTCTCTCACAACAAATACTCACAAGCTTGTGATGTTCAACTGGTCTCCATACCCAGTCAGTCAGCTGTTTATTAGACAGAGTGTGCTCTGAGGATCCCTTCTCAAGTGGCTTTTGACAGTGCTGAACTCATTGTTAAGTAATTTAAAATTGCTCTGTGAGCACATCCAGGCAACTTTACTAAGTGCATCGTGTATATTTTATCTCACCTAATCTTATGGCAGCCCACTTAAGTAATTTAATTTCCATGTTATAGGTGAATAGACTGAAGCTGCAGTCATTTGCCCACACACTCATAGCTAGCATATGGTGGAGTGATATTCAAACCCTGGTGTCTAATTCTCTTCTAACCTCTACCCATGTTCTCTTCTACTTCCTTGGTAACTTTTAGCTCTTAATTCTTTAACCAGAGTAGCTAAGAGATCTTTCTGAATGGGGCTTGGTTTGGAAGTAGCCCTGATTCAGGCCCCACCACCAGACCCCCCCCCCCAAAAAAAAACAAGGGCTGGGAAGGTGGCTCAGTGGAAGTAGCCCTGATATTAATGAGAGAAAGATTTTTTTTAGACAAAAGATAAGTTATAGAATATTCTTCAAAATTTATAGCAGCTCTCAGTATTAACTTTTGGCAGTATCTTAAGGGCTGAAAAGGAGTTAGACCAAAATGAAAATATTGGCAATGTGTATCACGTAAAACAAATAAAGTATTTCTGTACCAGTTTTGAAATCTCAGTGACATAATACCAGGAATTTGGCAGAATGACCACAATGTTATTTCAGTTAGAATAGTGAATGGAAATACTATGTTTATCTTGAAAATATGAACATAGAAATTAACATACTGCTGAATCCTTGACAGCAAGATTTTGAAACATACCTGAAGCAAATCCATATTTTTGATTATTACACTCTTAGGTCCATTGGTCAGTATCTTCCTTACAGAATTCTGTTAATAGTGTGACCATAAGTGCTTAAAGTATGTTAAGTAACACTTAGAATAATCTTTGTTTAAATTACAATAATCCTTAGGCTTTCTTAGGGTTCTAGCTCATCTACAAATTATTGCCTGCCAATTTTGCCATGCCATCTTTTCTCCAGGCTTTTAAGTTATAGGCTCATCTTAAATACCTCATTGAAGTACAAGCTACTGGAATGCAAAATTAGTTATGCCTATGAGAAATATGAAGGTGTAAAATGAAGGCAAACTCATAGATGAGTTTGAGTCTTCATCCAGGTAAAGCCAGAATATTTTGTGTGTCTCCTCTTATAAGTAGAGATAGTTTTAAGAAATGAATAAATCACTGTTTTTAAAGAACAGTGTTAGCTGAGATAGTGTTACATATATACATATGTATTTATGTAAGTGTGTATTGCATATATATAAATAGCTACACACATGTATATACATGCTATAGATAAAGCCTATAGTTGCCTATGAAAGTAATTCATTTTAACTGTTTATTTTTCACTGTTATTCTGCTTAAAAGACACTGTAGGATTGCCAGGTTTTCTCTAACTTTTAATGCAGTAAGATGACCAATGTGTTTCAGTTCAAAAAGTCTTAAATTTGTAAACCAAATACAGAGCCTATATTACCTCAATTTCCTCCATTCTATTCTCAATTCCATTTCTCCTTTTTTTATGCAAAGGATACATGACAAGCTTGTATTTCTTCTCAGGCCATTTACCATTTACATGTAAGATCTGGTGTGATCAGATTTGAATGCAATAATGAGTATCCATATTAAAACATTTACAGAATGCCTCCAGTGAAGGTAATCGGCTGCGCCCGGGTAAAGATCGAAACCAGAAGAAGGACAAGCCCGACAGTGTGGATGGTCAGCAACCACTAGTGAATGGAGTACCCTAAACTGCATAATTCTGAAGTTATATTTCCTATACCATTTCCGTAATTCTTATTCCATATTAGAAAACTTTGTTAGGCCAAAGACAAATAGTAGGCAAGATGGCACAGGGCATGAAATGAACACAAATTCTGCTAAGAAGTTATTTTTTGATATTGGCCATAAGCAACAATCTCTCAAACTTGCACAAAATGATGAAATTAAAGCATTGCTTTTAAGTATACTTAGTACTTCAGGGCAGGATTTTAATTATACTTTTCAAAGTACTGAGCAGTGATGTCCTTTATTCATTTGGACCATTTTTCCTGCATTGGGTAATAACTCATCAGGATGTTTTAGTTTTTCTCAAAAAAAAATAGCATTTATAGGAATCATACTAGACTTCTGTTTTCAATCTCATATAGAAGTCTCCATGAAATGCGTGTCATTTCATGTCCTGTGTCAGTTTATGTTTTGGTCCACTTTTCCATTATTTTAGTGGACCCTGAAATGTGTGTGATGTGACATTTGTCATTTTCATTAGCAAAAAAAAAAGTTGTATGATCTGTGCCTTTTTTATATCTTGGCAGGTAGGAATATTATATTTGGATGCAGAGTTCAGGGAAGATAAGTTGGAAACACTAAATGTTAAAGATGTAGCAAACCCTGTCGAACATTAGAACTTTATAGAATGCATGCTCTCCATATTTTTTTCCTTACATAAACATCAGGTTAGGCAGTAAAGAATAGGACTTGTTTTTCTGTTTATGTTTTGTTGCACTGAAGTTTGACAAATAGTGTTACTGAAAGGGATGTGAAATTTTTCTGTATAGACAGGAGAAGAAATAACTCTTTTCATTTGAGAGAGGCTAACATGTCTTCAGCTAGGAACAAATCTTCCTGGTTGAAAGTTAGTGGGATATGCCTGCTCTTTGGCCTGATGACCAATTTTAACTTAGAACCTTTTTTATTTTGTCCTCCCCAAATTTTGTGAAGTTTTTCCTAGTTTAAAATCAAGCTTATTTTGGGGAGATAGGAAAGTTGTTTTCATGTATACATAATAACCCTGTGAAGTACAGGTACTTTGTCTAAGAAACATTGGAAGCAGGTTAAATGTTTTGTTAACTTTTAAATATAAAGTCTAATGTATACGCAGAATTGAAAAGCATACTAGGCTCAATTAACAGTAATACTTTTTTTGCCCTATTTTTTAGTTTTGATGTGATTTTGATTTTGGTTTTGAGCTTTTTTTTTCAATGAAAAAAAAATTACTGAGGAAAAATATGTGAAAGACCTTCACTCCTAAGATGTTATATTTTTCTTAAAAAATAAGTCCATGTAGGGGTACCACCGAATCTGTACAGAGCCGTACAAACTGAAGTTCGGTATTTTGTGAGTTTGTTTTTTTTTTCATTTTCATTTTAGTTACTTTTCCTTGCATACAAATAAGCATATAAAAAGGCAACAAACTGCACATGATTTCACAAATATTAAAAAGTCATTTAAAAAGTATTGCCAAACATTAATGTTGATTTCTAGTTATTTATTCTGGGAATGTATAGTATTTGAAAACAGAAATTGGTACCTTGCACACAGCATCATCTGTAAGCTGTTCGGTTTTAAAATACTGTAGATAATTAACCAAGGTAGAATGACCTTGTAATGTAACTGCTCTTGGGCAATATTCTCTGTACATACTAGCGACAACAGATTGGATTTTATGTTGACATTTGTTTGGTTATAGTGCAATATATTTTGTATGCAAGCAGTTTTAATAAAGTTTGATCTTCCTCTGCTAAATTGATGTTGATGCAATCCTTACAATGATTGCTTTTTAAATTTTAAGATAGGAAAAGAAGAAATCTCTGAGTTGCATTCTGTTACAAAATGTAACTGTTACCATTGGAAATTTCACATATAGGAAGTTAGCCGTTAATCTACCAACTTTCAAGAACTTAATTTTGTTTAATAATAAAGTGAAAAAACCAACAATGTGGTACAAAACTACAGTGTACCATTACAATATGCACTAAGTCTCTTTTTTACAAAGGCTGGATTCAGCAAGGCGCTAACTTGCTTAAATGTGAATTACTAACTTCTAAAACTGTAATTTGATTCACATGTTTTCAAATGGAGTTGGAGTTGATTCATATTACAATATTTGTGTGCAAATGTGTATGTTTTTCAGTTCAAAGTCATGATGTTTTTAAAATCTTATTAAAGTTTCAAAAATCTGAAGATTGTTTATCTAGATGTAAATTTTTATTAAAAAGTTGCACTTATGAAAACACAAAAACTTAGTCTGACACGTTTACTCCCGGTTTTGAATTTCTATAATGACAAAAATGATTTATATGTGGGGAATGATATTTGTCATGCAAAGCAAATATGAGGTTACAAATGGATTAAAATGCAAGTGAACACATTTGAAAATTCTCTGTATTCTAAGAAAATGTCAGTCCATAGGATGCCACTAAACCAAAACTGTATTAAACAGAGTATTACTGGACATGGTTGTGCACACCAATCCCAATTGCTTGGGAAGGGGAGGCAGAAGGATCAGAAATTCCTTAAGTTCAAGGAACTTGTGAACTTGTGATGTCTACCTCTCAGTAATAGAATTTAGAGTATGGGAATTGGCTGTTATGGTCACTTCAGGAAAGTCTAGCACAGCCTATAACTTTGAAAAGAGTACATAAAGATTGAGACATAACATTTTCATAGTTCATCCGTTGTTAGAATCTGGAATAATTCAAGGAAGTCTCCTACATGAATGTGCTTTTTTATCATTTTCATTTTTGTCTTTGAGAAAAATGCCTTGTGTTTTCAGATGTTCAGGGTTTTCACGCCAACACTTGATTGGTTTTCTGCTGTTGGTTTTGTCTAGCTGAACACAGTTCAACAGTAGGTAGTTTCACAGTTTTCACCAGTGCACAGGAACAACAAATGGGTGGCAGCCAACTTGACACTCACCGTGGCTCATTCAAAGACATTGAACTCCTAGTGGTTTGTAGTATAGTGTCTTTTGGACTCAGTATACTGGTGTGATGCCTATTGAACCACTACCTGTTAAATGATCATAAATGTCATGATTCCCTTATGAAATTTGGATGCCTCTGATAAGCACTGTTATTTTGACCCCTAATTCTTAAATAGCCATTACCAGGGGCTAGTCATGATTGCTCAGCAGGAGCCAGGATTTAAATTGAGCATCTCTTACTCAGTATGTTTTCCTGGAACTTTCTTAAAGGATAGTTGAGAGGTTTTATCTCAGAACTTTCCAAAAACCTAAGAAAATCCTTTTTGTTAAGGAGTTTTATGTTTTTGAGAAGACTGAAAAAAAGGCTTGAAAAATTTCCTTTGCTTATAATTAAACACTAAGCCTCAAAATTGAATGTTCAAGAATCTCCAGCTTCCTAATTTCCTATATCCAATTTTAGTTGACTTTTTGTTGCCATGAAAAATACTTGAGAGGAATAAATGTTGGAACAAGTTATTTTAAGTCCCAATTTCAGAAGTTTGTCTGTCATGTGAGTGTGGCAAAGCAAAGCAGGTTACATCATGGCAGCAAAGATGCAGAGAAAGAATGCCTGAACTAATGAAGCTCACTTTAGCCCTTTTCCATCTAGACAGCCCCACCCTATGGGATATTGGAGCTTACATTGGAGATGGGACTTTTTCCCCTAGGCCTCTCTAATATCTCACTGATACACCCCCAGGTCTTTCACTAATTTCCTAGGTACTTCTCAATCCAGTCATGTTAACTTCCAGAATTAACCATCATCAGTCAACTCTTTGTCCTTCACACCCATACTTTTTTTTTTCTTTTTGTCGGTCGTGGGGCCTGAACTCTGGGCCTGGTTGCTGTCCCTCAGCTCTTTAGCTCAAGGCTAGCGCTCTACCATGTGAGCCATAGTGCCACTTCCAGCTTTTTCTGTTTATGTGTGCTGAGGAATTGAATGTAAGGATTCTTGCAAGACAAGCACTCTACCACTGAGCCACTTTCCTTGCCCCCAATTTTTTTCAACCATAACATTTCATCCATGGCTCACCACAAGTTTATGTTTATGTCATGATACAGAATTTACTTGGCCTGTCTTAGAGTCCCCACAGTATTTACAGTTCTAACCTCATTTAAAAAGCCCAAGTTGAAAGTCTTGAGATTCAAGGTGAACTCCTGGCTGTGAGACTGCAAAGTCAAAAGCAAGTTACATACCTCCACCATACAAATCGGGTAAATGTTCCCATTCCCAAAAGGAGAAAGAAGAGGATAGCAAATACAACTAAACTCCATCATGGGAAACATTGACCTTGTAGTTCCATGCCCTGCGTACTGAGCATGTAGTAGTGATATGATGACAGCCAGTTAGGCTAAGCCAGGGAGAAACTGGTAACCTCATTATCTGAGACACCCCCTAAGCCAGGCAACATGCCAGGCTTCTTACTGGTCAGGGACAAGTATGAAGACTTGCTCATTGTGATTTTGCTGCCAATCAACCAATAGTTGCAGCATATGGTATCATCAGTGGATCTTGAAGAGGCCTTATTATTAGGTCACAATAATGAAGAGTCATGCTTGGATGTCAGGGACTAACCTTGAATTATGTTAGTGGTTCATAGAAGGTAACATGTATCTGCCCTGGATATATAAAGGAGAGTTCTGAACCAAGGTCTTTCTTAAGTGCCCCATCTTCAAGGTTATTCAGGGCATCATTAAACAGCTGCACAGATATGGGAGAGAAGCCATATAAGTATAACCTTTGCAAGGTCCACCCAACTGGATGAGCTCAAGGTACAAGCACAGGCAAGAGACCTTAACCAGCAGTGGCCAGCAGTGTGGGGCATTTTTTTCACCCACAACTATGATCTAAAGAACACTCTGGTCATATCCATGGACCTATGCTGGTTTCGTCCATTCATGCAACAATATCCATATAAATAAACATGAGAGGCGAGGAATGACTTCAATTGACAGGCTTGATTAAACTTCAGAATCTGTTCCATCCTCTGCTTGTAATGGGTCAGAAAGTACATTAGTGATGTTTGGGTTAAAAAAAATCAAAGGGCATATTCCAAAGGGTATCAGGAAGCAGTAAGGTAAGTACACACAGGCAGTCACCCTATCTTGTGAGAGGATCACTGTGGAATGTCACAAATCCTGTGTCTGAGTAGACACAAGATAAGGCAAACACACAACTCAGTTTTCTGCTAGCATCAGGTTTTCTCCATACTCACTGTTTATACTTCCTGCATCTAGTTATAGCTTCCAGTCACTCTAGGGGCCCCACAGATCTGTGGCTCTACAAGCTGGACCACCAGCTGCTGTGAGATCCTAGTGCAGTCCCCCTGCCTCCACAGACACCTCAACAAGGACCATTGTAATGGTAGTCTCTTGTGGTTAGACAGCAAATGTCTGTGTAGTGCTAGACCTCATGGCCAAGGGCACTGTACTGCATCACCTCTGGTACATCCAATGAAAATCCCAGGACAAGGACAGTACTCATGGTCCCACCCACCTTCAAAAATGTGGTGGGAGCTAGTGGTAGAAACAGTCGTGGAAACTTTAGAGTAAGTTCACTTAACAACCCACTTGAGGAACACAAAACACAACACATACACACACACAAACATCCTCACAGTGCAAGAATAGATACAAAGATACTTTCCTCACATTTGTCTCCATGACATACATGCTCTCCACAGGGCATACTTTTTCACTCTTGAGTCTTACACAATGATAGAGGGAGGAGTCAGTGGGGGCTTGATGTGGCCTCTTGTGAGGTACCTTTGTGGTCCCTGGGCACACTGTAAAGCCTAGTCCTAGTCACAGGCTTCAAGTTAAGGGTGAGTGTGACAAAGGATTAGAAACAGAGTCAGCTCTTGTGTCCTTTAGTTCATGGATTCTATGTTCTTTCTACTCTGAAAGAACATTAACATTGTCCCCAGATCCTTTTATATTTCTTGTACCTCTTAGTAAGTGGGGAGGAGGATCTTTCTATATTCTCAGTAGCCTCTTCACCTCCTGTCTGCCTGGGGCTTTGGACCTCACAAACCCGTGGATGCCAAGACAAATTTGTGTATTAACATTGAGAAGACACTAGAATTGGGAGCTGCAGGGAGATCCCTCTGCCTTCATTCATTGTACTTACCAGGACCACCAGTCAAGGAGCCCCATCCTAGGTCATGCCAGACCCTCATATGCAGAAACACGTTTCTGGAAGAAATAGGCATGTATGTATGAGCAGAACTGCAGCATACCCCAAATAATGTTAATGAGCATAGTGAAGATCTGGGAATCAAAGTCCTCCCAATGCAAGGAACAAGATGTCAGGCAAAACCTGAAGTTGTACAATAACAAAAGCAATACAGACTAAGATTTTTATAAAATGGTAAGGGAAATTGGAAAGTACAAAATAAGAAAACTAATTACATGTCTTAGCACTTTCTGATAGGTACTTTAGTTGTATCCAAGTTGTACAAAATACTGAAAAAAAATCTGAAAAAAGAAAAGCAGTCCATTTATTTTTCAAAGGCAGCTGAGTTTTCGATGTGTGTTGCAGCTTCATCTTGTGAGTTCTCAGGGTGATTGCGTGTTATTTGGTCAAATAGTCATTTTTTATATGTGCTGGCTATAATATTAACAAGGTTCTTGGTGGGAAGCAGTTCTTCATGGGGATGATAGTTTGCATAACAAGAGAAATTTTTGTCCACTTGTTTCTGAGTTGGTAATGTTGCATCTTCTGACTACTTGTATACTTTGTCAGTAGAGAGTAGAATCTAACATTGCAGTTCTTCACAATTGCAAGTGTAATTTTTTTTTTGGACAATGTCATGTTACATAGGGATGTAAGCCTCTACTACCCATTTTTTTTTTCAGGAAGCATTTACGAAATACAATTGTGAAGGTCTTCAAGTGGGGGAGCACCATACTAAGGAATTATACGAGGTGGATCTGTGTAAGAAAGCTTAAGATGGGCTGGGCAGGTATATCAGTCAGTGGTAGAGAGCTTGTCTTGCATGCATGAGGCTCAGCGTTTGATTCCTCAACACCACATAAACAGAAAAGACTGGAAGTGGCGCTGTGGCTCCAATGTAGAGTGCTCACTTTGAGCTGAGGAGCTGAGGGACAGCGCCCAGGATTAGAGTTCAGGTCCCACGATCGACAGAAGAAAACAAAACAAAGGAAGTATGATATCAATGGGACATGATCATATTCAGGTCTCTCAGGGGCTCCAAGT